CCGAGGTGGAAGAAGGAATGGGGCTGGCAGAGAGAGAGAGAGAGAGAGAGAGAGACAGAGGCAGAGCCTGGGCCAGCCGTCAGCCCTCAGATGGAGAGTCAACAGCCCCCAGGTCTGGAGATGGCTGATGAGGAAGAGGAGGAACAGCTGGGTCCAGTGCCGGATGTACAGAAGGCAGAAGAGAGGAGAGCAGTGGAAATCTATGGGCCGATCCTTGAGAAGGAAGAGCCACCGCTGCTAGTAAGCCCCACTCTAGTTCTGGGGATAAAGGCAGGGGGAGGAGATGAATAGATGGGGTAGACAACTATTCATTTTCTGGCTGGCTGGATCTGTTAGGCTGCATTGAGAGAGAAACTTTTTGCCGGGGCTGCTGGCACTCCTAATAAAGGAATCTTTGAATTAACTTCAGAGGGTTTGTCGTGTTTGGGGAGCTGGGTCAGAATACCAGTATTTAAGTTGTGGATGTACCTTTAGCTCCAGCAGCCTCTCAGTGTTGTAACACTTGAATGTGGGTTAACAGGAAGACACCTGGATATCTCTAGTTTTTCTCTGAAACCCTGAACTCAGCCTTACCTTCCTCCAGATCTGCTGAAGCCCCTTCAGAGGGGACTACTTGGTGCTCTCTGGCTTCAGAGCTGTTTTCCAAATCATTTGCCTCGGTTGCTTCCATACGACATCGATTTGAATTAGGCCTAACAAAAGAGGAGAGGCAGGTTGGTTAAAAGAAAGAAAAACCCAGCCCCAAAGCCTAAAATATTTCCATTTTGTCCTTTAATAGATTTCAGTGTTGATTTGAAAAATAGGTTTTTTTCCCCTGCAAGGCCACAATCATATCCTCTTTCGAATTAAAATGGTAAACTATTTCATGCTACACTTTATGAAAGTAACCTTGGTAGATACAAACGGAAACAGGGAAGGAAGTTCTTCTGAGAGTGAAACAATGCAATGGCCAAGCATTTAAAAGTGAGGTACAGAGAAGCCAGAAGCGTTGTGGCGAGACTGGCTGGAAAAAAGCAGGCTCTGCTAAGCCTCCCAGAAATCCAGCTGGACAAACCATTGTCGGGAAGTCTTCGGACTGAAACCTGTCCCAGAGGGACAGGGGAGAAGAAGGGACAGCTCGGATGATCTAGAGGAACTGGCAGTTCTTCGGGAAGTTGGAGAAAAACCCTTCAAACCGGCAGCGGGGACGGCAGCCATAACTGAATGACCGCTACAAAGCTGGGGCAGCTAGACTAATTTAGTGTATCTGGAGCAGAGTGTGGAAACCGGGTGAGTGATTCACCAATTCACTAAAAAAAAAAGGAAAAAAAAAGGTGATCTTAATCTTAAAAGTGAGTTTCAGACTTGCCATATTTTCAGGTTTCTACCGGAAATTAGAGGCCGCCTTTTAAATTGGAAACAGCAGAAGCAATAATGAAGAACTCTAGAAATGTTAAATTTCTTATCCTGGCACAGTATAAGCATTTGTAAAGGTAGAAAACAAGTGGAAATG